AAGGAGAAAGCCTTCAGAAAACCAATCGACAGAGCGAAAGTAAGACCTTTTAGCTGATTAGAATGAGTTCAATTCAGATCACATACAGTTTCAAACACAGTATGCTCAGGCAAAGCATTGACGACTGCCAGTTCCTGGAACTGATGCAAATATGGATAGTATAAAAATATAAGTATATGTCTATATATACATTTTTTTTACATAGCTGGCCCTGACAATTGAGCAAAAACATTAACACATCAAAGTCATTCTTCTGTAGGTCTCATCCAGACTCTTAAAATGTATCTCTTTACAAATGACAAGCTAGATCAGCATCATGCATCTGTGCTCATAACCTTTGGTCATATCCCAGTCCAAAATACCACGAACCCAAGTTTTCAAAGGAAAACAAAACACGGAAATGTTTGATCAAGTCTTTTTTTTTTTTTTCTGTAAACAGAAAAGAGATGACTTCTATTACACAAGTTAAGTTCAGCGTGTGTAATTTGACATATTGTACATCAGACGGGTTTATTCAACGTTTTCCAATTTCGGAAACAGCAGCCAAGCAGATAACACAAGAGAAGGGCAACGTTTTCAGGGCTGATCAGCTGGCAAGGTGTGGGATTTCATCCACCCAGCGGTCATGCAACCAACAGGGGGCGTTCAGCAAACTCTTTTACAGAAGGAGCTTAGAATCCCTACAGTGTGCCAGCTTACTGCCCAGCCTCACGCTGTACAGATGTGCCCTGCCATCCCTTGCCCATTCTGTAGACATTCAACAGTGCCAGCTGCTCATTCTAGGTGTCCAGTATGAATGTACAAGAAATACCATCTTTTGCTTTATAATTATCATCATTATTAAAATACATATTTTTAAAAAATGAACCATTCGTTTATATAACCAAGTAACCCCAAAATTACCAGCATGAAATTAACAAAAAGAAAAAAAAAGACACGACATGTGCTTAGCTGCCTTTAACCCATTCAGTAAAGAATGGGTTAAAACAGCTCAGCGTCCCTGAGCAATCAGGCGTGGAATACTGAAAGGATTTTGTGTACCCTCAGCGGCCAGTCCAGTGTCCGTGGATTTTGCTTGTCTCTGCACCGACAGGGGAAGAAAAAAAAAATTTTTCTTAATTTTTGCTAAGAAGCTGCAAATGCATTTTCATTTGTTTGAGTTCAATATAGTTTTGGTTTTATTGGTCCGCATAGGAATGTGTTACAAAATGGACTGGTCAGCTGTCAATCGTTCGGAAGTAAGGCAGTCTTATCTTTCCATAAGGCAAATCATATATAATGTATCAAAATGTTAGTAAAAGGAAACATGGTCCTTATCATTTGTCTGTTCTCCGTGAAACAAGGAAACACAAATACTGAGTGGTTATCTTTGGCTTAGCTCCTCTTGATTTCCAGACACAAAATTGTATGTTTTTGTACTGTTGTTTGTTTGATTTATCCTGTTTTTATTATATGACAAATCCTTTCATTAGTCCATAAAAAGACTTAGAGATAATGGCAAACAAATCACACAACAGCCACAGAATGCCCTTTTCATCAAATGATCTCTAGGGTTTTGTCCCTAACTGCCCCACTTGGCAAACACTCTCTCCTGCCATTGAAAAATAGGCTTATTCAAATTTCATTCTTGAACGAACTTCCTTCACGTCCCAGCTCCCAGGGAGAAAAAAAAATTAAATAAAAAAAAAAACAACCCCTTTTTTTTCCTGCTGTATTCAATTAAACCAACCTTACACCAATGTGGACTTTAAAAAAAAACAACAATGATAACAATGAAATGTATTAAAAAAATACTCAAAAGTTTTGTATCTAGCCTGATAATTCATCTTAGAGATTGAGAAAGACTCAAGTCACAGACTCCTACCTCGACTCTTAACAGCAGCAAAATGTTTAGAATTTCAAGTTTTTTTTTTTTTTTTCGAGCTTTCATACCTCACATTCCCGGGAGCCAGAGATTGTATATGTACAGGGTCCTGATCCATTTACCAATACATCCATGGGTTCTGTGTTGGAAGGTTTGTAGTCCACATAATACTCCTGTAATGGGGAGCTTATTTGTCTTTCTGACTCTCTGGCCTTTTTCCTTCTCCTCTTCATCATTGAGCTTTGTTGCAGTTGCTTCATGCTGGCCGGATATCGTTTCCACGATACATAAATGACGAGTAAAATCATGGCCACAGATAGGAAAAGGGCCACGCTTCCAGCTATGATTTTATGGAAAGAAACATGCTCGTATTCTTGCTCAGCAATGGGTGTCTGCAGACCTGAGGAAGGGCTAGGAGTGTACAAAGTTGGTGGGGCACTCTCCAACTTGTACACAGTAGGCTTGGGAGCAAACTGGGACTTTGGGGGTGCTTTGGTTGTCTGATAAGCTCTTTCAGTCACCAGTACAGGGGTTTCATTGCAGATATTGTAGGTTTCCACAGCATCAATAACTTTCTCTCCTTGGATGTGTTTAGGTCCAGCACATATCATAGTGGTCTCTTTGTTTCCCTTAAAGTTCTTGAGCCAGAACACCAGAGGACAAATGGTTTTGCTGCATTCCCACATGTTTCCAGAAAGAGTTATAGAGGTCAGAGATATCCAAGCATTTATGGTTTCCTGGGTGACATTGGTGAGCTTGTTTGAATCCAGGTTGAGCTTCTGTAAATTGGGGAGACATTGGAAGGTTCCAGGTTCTATGCTCTGTATGTCATTTCCTGACAGGTCAAGATTGTGCAGTGCACTCCAAGTCCAACTTAATCCTTGACTGATGGATCTAATCCTATTCCACTGCAAGTAAAGGGAATGTAAGTTAAAGAGGCGAGGAAAGTGAGCAAAGTTCACCTTTGAAAATTGGTTGTGTTCCAAGTGGAGCTCCTTTAGCTTCAGGAGGCCAGCAAAGGCATTACGAGACAAGCTTCTGAGCCGGTTATATCCAACATCCAAAAATTCCATATTTCGACAGTCCTGAAAAACCCGAACTGGCACTGTTTTTAATGAGTTGGACCGTAGGTGCAGACTTAAAAGCTTCCGAAGACCTTTGAACTGCTCAGATTGAAGCATCTGCAGTTTGTTGTAGGATAGATCCAAATTTCTCAGGTTGGGGATGGGGTGAAAGGTTGTATTGGCTAGGAGGGTGATTTTGTTAGAGCTTAGAATGAGCTCCTTCAGCCGTCTGATACCCTGGAAAGCATCCTCATCCACCGAGTTAATGTAATTGTGGTCAAGGTAAAGCCAGACCAGCTGGTTAAGGCCTGAGAACTGGTTAGACTTCAACTTTTGGATGCTGTTGTAACGCAGAGACAGTCCCTGGGAGCCACCTGAAATATTCTGAGGAATGTCTTTAAAGGCATGGGACTCGCAGTACACAATTTTCCCATCACACCGGCAGTTCTTTGGACAAGTTTTCTGTGCCCCCACAACAATCACCACGGTGAGCACGGGTAACAGAAGCAGCTTTAAACTCATGCCTTTCAGCTGATTAATCAGTTGGAACCCTGCAGCATGGCGAAAAAAAACACAACAGGCATTGAAATCTCCGAACCTTAGGAGAGACATTGACAGAATTAATTCTATTTCACCCTCACTAAAAAAATCCCTTAAGCAGTGCAATGATTAATTGTTTTAAATTAAATCTTATCAAATAAAATAATCCTGGCTTTCTCTAAGCCCCTTGACCGTTATGTTGGAAACACTGTCTTCCTTGAAGGAAAATCCGAAGCTGAGCAGACAGCCCCATTAAACAGGTGTCTTCATTCTTAGTGCCAGATTGCACCATCCTTATTCCCAAATAGATCACCACACCCCTGAATTGGGATTCGCTACATATAGTACAACATCTACACAAGAAGTCATTTGTAAAGACAGCATTATTTCAAATTATATATGGTTATTTTGGGGACGGTAGAATGCACTAAGTACATCTATGCACTTGCTTATCAAGCAGTGTCATCAGCACCATGGACATGTTCATTGTATGTACACAGCTATGTAACGTACTGGTGGAATGAGAAGATTTATTGAGAAGTATTATGCGATTAGCCAACGCATGATAGTTTTGATGAAGTTCGAGTGAGCCGTGGGACTAGCGCTTCAAAGCAAAGGACAACGGGGGAAGGAAAGGTTAACACTGAATGAAATGCCCTTTTTTTCTTGAATGCAACTCCTAGTGGCTGGAATTTAATTAAAGTGATGCAGTGTTTGCATATTGTTGCTCCTAACGAGCAATATATAAAAGGGGGGGTGGGTATAGAAGACGCATCAATGTCTTTTAACCTTTTTAGCATCAGTGAATGGGTATGGACCCCAAATTAATGTAAAAGGACATGTTTTAACCCCTTATTTTTGGTCTGTCTGCTGGATTGCAAAGGGAGAACGAGGATGGAATCTGACCTTGCTACTTGTACCGGTGGTACATGAAAGCCAACCAGAAAATTTGGAGAGAGAAGCCAAACCTTGGCTTGCCGAGGGGATCAGTAAAAGGATTGCAGAGGACAGGCTATATTTTAGCAGTGATCAGTAAAAGGATTGCAGAGGACAAGTTAAATATTAGCAGTGTTGCGGACTAAGAGAGATTAGAGATATGACAGTTACATTTTTTTTTTTTGGGGGGGGGGGGG